TCATGCCACTGCACTCCAGCCTGGCCAACAAAACAAGACTGCTGGAAGGAAGCGAGGGAAGGAAGGAGGGAGGGAGGGAGGGAAGGAGGATTGTGAGCATGTGTTGTAGAAAAGCTATTTGTTGGCTAGGCACAGTGGCTCATGCCTGTAATCCCAACTACTTGGGAGGCTGAGGCACAAGAATCTGGGAGGTGGCAGTTGCAGTGAGCCAAGTTCACACCACTGCTCTCTAGCCTGGGCAACAGAGCAAGACTCCATCTCAAAAAAAAAAGCCATTCATTGATATGTGATTTTTGTTTGTTTGTTTTACATGTTCAGAGAAACTGCTCTGGTAACAAACTACAGAAATTATCCCTGACAGTATGGTCTTAACTTGTCAAAATTTAATTACACGTACCTCTGACCTGCCACAGGTGTGACACTGCAGTTCATGTGCAGAGACGTTCATGGTAAGAAAGACTGGAAGTAAATGACCAGGTAGCCATTGGGGCACGCAGGCGCTTGCACTAGCTGATGCGGAGGCATTTCCAGGAGGAATCCCCGAGAAAGGATGCAGAAAGGAGAGTGTCAGAAGTACAATCCCACTTTACAAACGAAACTGTGACTGAGAGAAAAAGCCTGTGTCTGTTAAAAATGTACATAAAGGCCTGTAATCCCAGCACTTTGGAAGGCCAAGGCAGGCAGATCACCTGAGGTCAGGAGTTTAAGACCAGCCTGGTCAACATGGCGAAACCCTGTCTCTACTAAAAATACAAAAATCAGCTGGGACTGGTGGCGTGCGCTTGTAATCCCAGCAACTTGGGAGGCTGAGGCAGGAGAATCGCTTGACCTGGGGAGGCAGAGGTTGGGGTGAGCCAAGATTGTGCCACTGTACTCCAGCCTGGGCAACAAAGACCCTGTCTCAAAAAACAACAGAAAACCAGCCAGGCACAGTGGCTCATGCCTGTAATCCTAGCACTTCCAGAGGCTGAGGCGGGTGGATCACAAGGTCAGGAGTTCAAGACCAGCCTAGCCAACATAGTGAAACCCCGTCTCTACCAAAAATCCAAAACTTAGCTGGGCATGGTGGCGCATGCCTATAGTCCCAGCTACTCGGGAGGCTGAGGCAGGAGAATTGCTTGAACCTGGGAGGTGGGGGTTGTGGTGAGCCCAGATTGCGCACTGCTGCATTCCAGCCTGGCAACAGAGCAAGACTCCCTCTCAAAAAGAACAAAAACAAACCCATATAGAATATCCATGTATTTATATACAAATTACAGGCTTGTATATATCTTACATGTTGATATGTATGTATATCTACCAACAGCAGGTTGACCCTGTGTGTATCTGTGTAGTTCTGTGAGAATGCAGAAGACTGGGAGAAAATGCTGGGACGGGACGTGTGCTGTTGCAGAGGGAGAGGGAAAGGCATGGAATGCCGAGGAGAAAGTGAGAAACGAGGCCGCACTAAAAGCACCAGATTTGATATGTAAATAGTTGAGAATATGTGTTTAACTATCTTGTATGTTTGTAAGCGTAAATGTAGAAACAAAATTCTGCTTATTTTTGGAATCTTATGAAACCTTTAAACTATTAAAAGGAAGGTTCTCTGTGCCAGTTGATGGACCTGCTGCTTTGCTGGGTGTCCGGAAGGAATTCAGTTTTGTGTGGCAGGTGCTCAAGAACCGGTGGGCAGCAGGCCACCCCAGCGGCGCCCATATGGGGTCCTGCGGGAGACACCATTGGAGGGCTGGCGTGGGCAGCCTGCACCTGGGGCCTCAGCCCTGCTTAGGGCACTGGGGCAGCAGGGGAGGGGGCATCTGGGGCAGGAGGAGCCAGCTGCATACCCACCTAGGCCTAGGAGGAGCCCTCTGACTGCCTGCGAAGAGGAGCTGGCCTCGGCTCGAGGATGGGTCCTCATGTGTGGTCTGGGCCCCCTTTAGGAGGTGATGGATGAGCTCATTTCCTCATGTTTAGTAACTCGAAAGAAAATGGATAACACGAGCCCCCAGTGATACAGGGCAGGTGACATTTGTGAGCTGAGAGGAGCTGGAGAGATCACTAAGCCCCCTTCCATACACAGGAAACCCGGGGTCTGCAGGGTGAAGGCCCGAGAGCCGGGACACTTTTCCTCCCCAGTGACTTGCTTTCCAGATCAGCCGTGTGAATGAGCAGTTTAGAGAAATGTCCTCATAAGATTGTTTTTCCACCCACAGAGCTGAACCCACTAGGGAGAGCAATGGAAAGGCAGATTCCAGGCCGGTGGGTGTGTTTCCTGACGGGGGTCCTCCCTCCCTTGTGCCTCAGGCACTTCACTTTTCTCCGGAGGAAAGCGATTCTACTGTTTCCAAAAGCACCAGCACAGAAGCAGCTGATGAGGCAGCCAGGCCGGGTGGAGACGCAGCCCCTACCGAGGTGGGCAGAGCGGGCACAACTGAGTTCTGTCGGCTGAGTTTCCTGGACGCTGCTTGGGAAGCCCCTGGCACCCAGGGCTGTGGCTGGCAGTTCCCTGCCATGCTTTACCCCGAGGCTGGTGCCTCCGTGCCAACCAGCCCAAGGAGAGGCAGTCAGGACTTCAGGTCTCCAGGAGGGAAAAAAGTGACACCTTTGCCCTGTCTTTGACTGAGGCGAGGGTCAGGAATCAAAGCTGAGAAAGTGGGAAGCAGGGGGGCTGCTGGTGGGCGGGCATGGCCAGGGAGGTGGGCGGCCGTCAGAGAGGCACAGCCCACCCGTACAGATCCTCCTTCCACCAAGGCCCAGCCCTCACTCCCCAGCTTTCCAAACCGCCAGCCCACCTGGGACATGAGCAAAGCACACATCTTCCCAGGTGGTTGCCAGAAAGATGCTTGACTCTGCTCTTAACCTTGGTTTTGTACCCAGGCTCTTCTTGTAGATATCAAACTGGACCCACTCATGGTCACCACAGATGCCGCAGGCCAGCCCCGCGTTGACCTCTCTCTCATCGACTTCTGCAATACCCCAGAAGCAAACGTGCCTGTGAAGTCTGAAAGCAGGCCTCTGATCGACCTCCTGATAAACACCCCAGATATGAACAAAAATGTGGTGAAACCTTCACCGGTGGTGGGACAGGTGAGAAGTGGCAGGTGGTTCGTGTTGACTCAGCCCTGGGTTTGTTTGTCCTCCCGAGGCCATCGCTGGGACCCTTGAGAGTGGCTGTTGAATCCTCTCGGCTACACAGCTCAGGGCAGGACACACCTTTGGCAGCCTGAACTACTCAAAGATCAGCTGCTTCTGAGGCGCCAGGACCCCGCCAGCTCTTCTTGGGCAAGGACCACCCCTCCCACCCTTAGATCCTGGGGCCGGATGTGGGACAGAGGAGTGTGTGTGGTGGGGGCCTGGGTTCCTCCTCGTGTCCTGTCTCCTTCCAGCTTCTCAGATGTGGTGGCCCAGAGTGCACCCAGAGTATTTTCAGTGCACCTGAGCCAGGGTGACTGAGCTGTTGTGCTGACTCAGGCAGCCAGTCCTCTGTGTGAGGAGGGGAAGGAAGGGAAGCCCTGGCCACGTCTGCGCTCACCTCCTCCACTCTGCTCTCTTCCAGCTCATAGACCTGAGCTCCCCTCTGATCCAGCTGAGCCCCGAAGCTGACAAGGAGAACGTGGATTCCCCACTCCTCAAGTTCTAAGCAGAACCAAATTCTTTGCCTTGAAATAGCCCTAAAGAGGTTTCCAACCCTTAGAAAGAAGTTTTAGTCTGGGCGTGGCGGCTTACACTTGTAATCCTAGAACTTTGGGAGGCTAAGGTGGGCAGATTACTTGAGCCCAGGAGTTTGAGACCAGCCTGGACAATATAGTGAGACCCCTGTCTCTACAAAAAATATAAAAATTAGCTGGGCGTGGTAGCACATGCCTATAGTCCCAGCTGCTCGGGAGGCAGAAGTGGGAGGATCACCTGAGCCCGAGGAAGTCGAGGCTGCAGTGAGTTGTGATTGTGCCACTTGCACTCCAGCCTGGGCAACAATGTGAGACCCTATCTTAGAAAAGCAAAAAGAGAGAAACACGTGTTAGTAGACATTTTATTTGTAAAAGAAAAATAAGCCTAAAGATATTCCCTGTGCTGGAGAGGGTGGGCTGAGGGACTGGGGTCAGTGCTGACCACCCTAGGCCTCTGCTGCCCGCAGCTGTCCTCTCTGCCACTGTCGGCTGGAATGTGAAGCTTAAGTCACTCTAGGAATTTTCTTTAGAATGTTTTGTGTGTAAAATACCAAGTGGCTATTTTTAAAGTTAAGTTTGTATAAAAAGTTAAATATTCTAGATTTACATTAAATTTTAAAATAAATGGACTTATTAAAGCGTATCTTGATTTTTAAGCGTATCTTGATTTTCACACATGCGTGGCTGTTGCTATCACCCTAAGCAGTAAAACTACTATCTAGATTCAAATGCTTTCATAAAAGCATTGTGGCCCTTCTAACCCTAACTAGAAGGCAAGGTGGGGTTTCCAGGTCATAGGTGGATTCAATGATTTTCTGGGCCGGGGGCAGTGGCTCACACCTGTAATCCCAGCACTTTGGGAGGCCGAGGCAGGTGGATCACTTGCGGTCAGGACTGCGAGACCAGCCTGGCCAATATGGTGAAACCCCGAATCTACTAAAACTACAAAAATCAGCCAGGCGAGGTGGTGTGTGCCTGTAATCCCAGCTACTAGGGAGGCTGAGGCAGGAGAATCGCTTGAACCTTGGAGGTGGAGGTTGCAGGGAGCCGAGATCGCGCCACCGCACTCCAGCCTGGGCAACAGAGTGGGACTCCGTCTCAAAAAATTAAATTAAAATAAAAATAGGTTTTTTGGGTAAAATACTTCGATATCTTTCAGGGCCTGCTATCTGTCATGTCGGTATCGTACTGCTACGGAGAGTCCACCTAGACAGTGTCAAGTCTGTTTTGGTGTTAATGCTGGTCCGAATTCCAAAGGGAGGAGGGTCTGATGAGGCGGGTCCCCTCCGGCCTTTCCCCATGAGGACCCGAACTCGCGGCTACGATGCCCTTTAGGACGCCCTTGGCAGAGACGAGAGCTCCATCGGCTAGCTGGGGGGCTTAGAATTTTATTTTCGGTTTACAGCGCAAAAGAAGAGCAATGAGGCCAGGACACGGATGGGGACGGCGAAGCAGCGGCTCCAATAAAAGGCAGCTACTCGCGGCCCGGCAGGGTCTCGGCGCCCCGCGATCGGCGGACCCTCAGTGGCGAGCGCGGCCCGGGGCTCGGTAACCTCCTCCGCAGAGCCGGGGAGGGCCGGACCGAACGCGGGCGCGCGGGCGCAGCTTCCGGCGGGCCAAGAGCGCGGACCCTGCGTCCGGGGCGGGACTTCCGGCGAGGCGCGGAAGCGGCGGTAGTTGCTGGTGAAGTTGGGCAGCGGGCGGATGCAGGCGGCGCGGCACGTCGTGTGCGCCCTGTCCGGCGGGGTGGACAGCGCCGTGGCCGCACTGCTGTTGAAGCGGAGAGGTGAGGCAGCCGAGGCCCCCGCCCGCCCCCGAGCGAATGTGCCCCAGAAAACCTGTCCCCGACCCTCGTGGCCTTGGTCAGGCCGCCTCCCTCCCTGGGCCCCGGGTTGCGTGCAGGTCGGCAGGAGGAACCCGGTCCTCTGACCTCGGTTCCTCTCCCTCCGCCTGTCTGGTCGGAGGTGTGCGCGACTGCAGCTCCGACCACCCGAGAGCAGTTGCGCGCCGCTCCCCACCCGCGCCCACCCCCAGGGAAAAGCCGGCCGGTTGGCCGGCCGGGGTGGGGTAGGGAGGGGAGGGGAGGGTTTCTCACGCGTCTGCGGCGCCCGCATTCGCCTGTGAGGCCGCGGACACTGGGAGGGGAGCTGGGATCGCCCGGGCCGGAGGCCTGACCTCTGCGCACGGTGTGGCCGCTCGGTGGGAGGTCCTGTCCTCCCCACTAAGCAGACGGACACCTGCCGCGCGGCGGGTCTGCTTATTCAGTGTCTCCTGTGTTCTCCGCTCGCTGGAGGTCAGACTTTTCGCCAGAAGCATTGGCTTTGCTTCCGGGCATCTACCCGGAGCCCCACAGGTGCTTAGAATTCCTCGAGCCCAGCGCTGAAATGAGCACCTGTTTAACTTCACCTGTGGGGCTCCCCGCGGGAGGCCGCATTCAGAATAACGTTTGTGAGCTCTGCTTCGCGCGGTCTTTGGTTCCTGATCTTGGGCAAGTTAATTAAGCCCTCCCATGTAAAATTCGGCTAACACTGCCTCACGGGGTGACGGGAGGGTTTAGATGGTTTAATACGCATTGATGGGTTTACCCCCCTGCCCAGCGCATACCAGGTACTCAGAAAACAGTCGTGGCAATTAGTTTATATCGTTAATAACCGTAGCTATTGTGGTAGGTATACCCAGCGCCAAAGAGAAGGGTAGGCAAACCGTAAGCAGAAATAGTCGTTGAGAAGGGAGAGTGGTGGAAGTGTTCAGCTGTCTTGGAAGAAGAGTCGGATGTCCTAAGCAAAGACCTGGAGGTGGAGGAGGTCCTCCGGGCAGTCTGCAGTGCAAGCAGACTCACAGAAGCCTGGAAGTGTTGGCTGGTTCCGGCCAGATGGAGGTAGGAGAGGAGAGTGGAAAACGTTAATGATAGATCAGGGGCTTCATACCGTCGGGTAGACAGCCTTCGTCTGGCGGATCTGGGATGGAGTGGTCTTGTGTGTGTGGTGGTGTCGCTTCGGCAAAGCTTTGTTGTCACATTTCTGTTGTTTTGGGTACTGTATGAAGCCTTCAGCAGTCATTTGCCCTGTCTCATTACGTTCAGCCCTCCTAAAAACCAGCTTTCTCATATAGGGTTGGCACCTGTGTAGTTTGCTAAGGTAGTGGAGGGCTAAAGTTGGCCTTTCCAATATTTGCGTGAATATTTTGTTATAATTGAAAAGGGAGAAAATAGATAATAAACTAGGTTACAAAATATTCAACATTTTAATTATCTTTATACCTGACGACTTAGAATCTAAGTTGTAGATGGTAACTAGAAGCAACTTTTGAAATGACTTTCCTTTCCTGATAACTGAATGGAGCTTTGGAAAATTTGGTTGAGTTTCAAGTCTTCCTTTGTGCATTTCAAACACATTGACTAAGCCCCTCCTGCTGGTATTGTGCTGATAGACAGATGGGGGCACAAAGATGGGAAAACACTACCTCCTTCATCTTGGGGACTCAGGCACCAAGCCGGAGACCAGAGCCCTGAGGCCACATGACAGAGCAGGGACTGCCAGGCAGACCAGGCACAGAGGCACCGGAGCACAGCATGTGAGGAACTGCTCAGAGCTCAGAAATCACTGCTTTTTCACCCAAGGTTGATTTCTGTACTCTCTTTGACTTTCCTCCCGTCCCCAGGTTACCAGGTGACAGGGGTGTTTATGAAGAACTGGGACTTGCTGGACGAACATGGGGTCTGTGCTGCTGACAAAGACTGTGAAGACGCTTACAGAGTCTGCCAGATCTTAGACCTCCCTTTCCGTCAAGTGTCCTACGTGAAGGAGTACTGGAATGATGTGTTCAGGTGAGTGCAGGTCGCAGCTCACAGGAGGCTTCCTCACGCTGTGGATCCTTCCAGTGGAAGGATGGTGGTCGTGGGCCTGACAGACTCCTGTGCAGCCCAGGGTGCTCCCTCCACAGTGGTGCGGAAGCTGCAGGAGACCTTGGCTGCCCTTGGGGCCTCTGTTAGAGGCAAGGCCTGGACCCCACAGCACTCCCAGCTCGCTCATGCCTGGACCCCACAGCACTCCCAGCTCGCTCATGCCTGGACCCCACAGCACTCCCAGCTCGCTCATGCCTGGACCCCACAGCACTCCCAGCTCGCTCATGCCTGGACCCCACAGCACTCCCAGCTCGCTCATGCCTGGACCCCACAGCACTCCCAGCTCGCTCATGCCTGTCATTTTCACCACTTGCCTGAAGTCTGTTTAATGCTTTCTTGGACCTTGAGTTGTTTCTGTTGCCCAGTTAGGGAAGGGGAGCTAAGGCTGAGGGCTCCCCTGGAAGATGAGCATCAATGCCTGTGTGCTGTGTGGGTCACCGATTATGGGGGTTCTGAGAGAACAAGTTAGGTGATAGGTGGCCCTGCATGGCCCCGTGCCTTTGCAAACAAGAAACAAACAGAAGCTTATGAAATCTAATACAGTCCCAATCATTAAGTGCTCACTGCATGCTGGGCATGTGCTACACCTAGGAACATTAAGATGTCTACACCGTGACCTTGTTCCATAGGAGTCTGAGGTCTAGTTGGGAGCACATTATCTTCACAAGAGATGACAGTGATGTGTGGCATGTAGGAAGTGCCAGTGATTCTATGAAGAATCACTGAACCCGGGAGGAGGGAGAAATTTGCAGTGTGGAGCAATCAAGAAGGCTTCATGAAAGAGGAGGGCTTGCCAGCAAAGGAGTAGAGAAGACACTCCAGATGGGGTAGCGAGGGCAGCAGTGAAGCGGAGAAGAAATGCCGGTGGTTCATTGTGGGACTGCTGTGCAGTTTGCCTGGACTTCTGCTCCTGCAGTGGAAGGAGCGTAGGGCTCGTCCTCTGGTGAGCCCTGACCATGCTGACTGTTGGGCAGTTGTCGGGCATCTGACACAGCAGGCTGTGTGCACAGGACAGGCTGCCCTGCCTGAGTGGGCTGTAGGAGCAGAAAAGCCTCGTGTTGAGTCCTGACTCTGTCACTTCTTATATGACCTTGAGCAATTTACTTGACTTTGTTTTTTTAATTGAAAAAAATATATATATTTTTCCTGGCAACAAAGAACCAGAAGAGTTACATGACTTTTTTTTTTTGAGACGGAGTTCCACTGTTGTTGCCCAGGCTGAAGTGCAATGGCGTGATCTCGGCTCACTGCAACCTCCACCTCCTGGGTTCAAGCAATTCTCCTGCCTCAGCCTCCCGAGTGGCTGGGATTACAGGCGCGTACCACCATGCCCAGCTAACTTTTGTATTTTTAGTAGAGACGGGGTTTCACCATGTTAACCAGGATGGTCTCGATCTCTTGACCTTGTGATGCACCCGCCTCGGCCTCCCAGAGTGCTGGGATTACAGGCTTGAGCCACCACGCCCGGCCCAGATTGCATCTTAAGTAGTTTATAGTTTAATGAGCTTCCTGATAACTTTCTAATAATTAAAACAAAGTGGAAAGTATCATAACATCAAGTGTTGTTGGCAAATACAGAACAAGGAGAGTTTTTATGAACTTCTATTGGGAGCAAGAAGTAGGTAAACACTTGGTGCTTGCTAAAGTTGAAGATAGACAAGTAACATCTGAGTCTGCAGATCCGTGATCTGTCTGCATAACAACCCTCCTGATCAGCACTGGTTGTTTTAACCCTTGTTGATTAATAGAGTGTTTTAGGTTAAATGAAAAAAAAATTACTTATACCGAAATACACCAATTTTTAAACTCTCAAAATAGGCCTCATAACCCTCTTGAAGTGAATCCTCTAAGACTGTGAAATTCTTGCTAAGTCTTGATGGTATTGTAGTGTCTTTTTCCCATATTCAGTTAGTCTGTTAGAGCAGAAATTCACAGAAGAAGGATGGCCTGATCCACTTTAAGCACCCAGGAGGTTGCTGGTTCTGAGAAGTGTGTATTCATCACATGAGGAAAGTATTTCTGGTATATTTGCCCAGTGACCCAGCTTCCCAGGCTGAGGGTGCAGAATGGCTCGTGGAGCCCTTGTGTAGGGAAAACTGACCGTGTTTCACCTCTGCTCTCACACCACAGCAGTCATCCTCACAGAAGAAGGCTTCTGTGACCAAAGGTGGGGTTTTCCCCCATACACCAAGCAGTGGACACCAACTGGGTGTCCTCCAATTCAGCTCTGACACCATCTACCTGGAGATAGTGCCAGATCCCAAAGGTTGGGGGTTCATTCCCCAAGGCTGACCTCCCCCCCAACAACAGTCGAAAGTATGAGCCTCTAGGACTTACTGGCTTCAAGTTGGGGTTCCCATGACTTCCTCTTCGGGTTCGATTATTAATAAGTTCCTGGAGTGGTTCACAGAACTCAGAAAAACACTTCCTTACATTTTATTATAAAGGGTATTGCAAAGGATGCAGATGAAGAGGTGGGTCGGGTGAGGTATGGGGAAGGGTCCCTCCCTGGGGACCACCCTCCAGGAACCTCCACAGCATAGCTGTCCAGAGGCTCTCTGAACCCAGTCCTCTTGGGTTGTCATGGAGGCTTCATGACACTGCCATTCCTTCCCCCAGGATATAGAGCGGGACTGTTTCTGGGGAGGGTCTTAAGACCCACACTCAGACAGGTAGATGCCTGTAATCCCAGCACTTTAGGAGGCTGAGGCCTGGAGTTCAAGACCAGCCTGGGCAACATGGCAAGACCTTATCTCTACAGAAAAAGATGCAGTAGGCCAGGTAAAGTGGCTCATGCCTGTAATTCCAGCACTTTGGGAGGCCAGGAGTTAAAGACCAGCCTGGCCAACATGGTAAAATTAGCCAGGCATGGTGGTGCGTACCTGTAATCCCAGCTACTCAGGAGGCTGAGGTGGGGGAACCCGGGAGGCAGAGGTTGCAGTGAGTGAGCCAAGATCACGCCACTGCACTCCATCCTGGACGTGACAGAGTTAGACTTTGTCTCAAAAAAAAAAAAAAAAAAAAAAAATGCGTTGAAAGGAGTGCAGGTCAGAGGCCCATCCCTAAGGCCCACCACACCCAGCATGACAGCAAAACACTAACGGGTTGTGGGAGGTACGAGCCAGGAGCTGTGGATGAAAGCCAGTACATAGCACAGCCCCACAGCCCTGCAGTGTAAGTCTAGGGGATTTCATTTCTGCTGTCACTCGGGCATCTTCTCTTCCTTACCTAAGCCCTGCTGTGTGGGAGGAGTGCCAGAGGTGGGAGTTTAGTGAGACCCTCATGACCACCCCCCACTCCTGACCCCACACGCCCTGCAAGCCCACAGGTCACTATGCGAGAACGTCACAGGAAGATGGAGAGGGTGGTCCTGAGCCGCAGTGTGGGAGAGCAACGCCTTGCTGTTTGTCAGGTGGCTCACGTGGCAGGCTGTAAACAAATGTTTGACGACAGCGGCTTTATATCGAAGCTCTTCTGTTTTGCAGAAAATTATAGTTTTGGTATAACAAGGAGAAATTCTACATTAAACAAGCAATTTAGTGAACGTAATTTTTTTTTGAGAAATGTTTCACACTTGGAACTTAAGTCGTTTTCTTGTATTCCAGTGATTTTCTGAATGAGTATGAAAAAGGAAGGACTCCCAATCCTGACATCATTTGCAATAAGCACATCAAATTCAGTTGCTTTTTTCGTTATGCTGTGGATAATCTTGGTAAGTAATTTGAGTTTAAAAAAAAAGAGACAGGGTCTCGCTCTGTCACCCAGGCTGGATTGCCATGATGCGATCATGACTCACTGCAGTCTCGACCTCCTGGGCTCGAAAGATTCTCCCACCCCAGGCTCCTGAGTAGCTTGGACCACAGGCATGCCTCCATGCTGGCTAACTTTTTGTGGAGATGGTATGTCTCAACTCTGTTGCCCAGGCTGGTCTCAGACTCCTGGCCTCAAGCAGTCCTCCTGCCTCGGCCTCGCAGAGTGCTGGGATTCCAGGCGTGAGCCCTGCGCCTAGCCTGTTTCTGGGTGGACCTCCTGATGCTGAATTGCTTGCTTCGACCACCTCTTGATGATGTCCGTGGCTTTGCTTTGTGGATTCTAGGCTCTTTCTCCTGTCCCCTGCCATTGTTTCTGAAGCTGTGGCTCTGGCCTCTGGGTTTGCTGTGTCCCACCGCAGCTCACCCTGTTGTGTGCGGCCACGAGACACTGTTGTAAGCCAGGGACCCGGTAATGTCAGCGCTCCCAGCAGTGATGTAGATGAGACTTGCAGACCTGATCCGTGAGATGATGATGATGAAGGTTAGTTTGTGGAGTTGGGAGTAAACAAATGCCTACACGACGAAAGGTCTTCATTTCAACTGTACGAACCCAAAACCAGGAAACGTCATCGAGACAAATGCAGAGTCTGCTCCCAGGTTCAACTAATGCTCCTAGTACAGGCTGGAAAGACCTAGCTTGGTTGCCACTGAATATGCAGAAAGTCGGGGGGATTTGGGTGCCCACGCTGGCTGAGCCAGGAGTGTGATGTGTTTGTCAAAGCCGGCCGACTGAGCTCACCTCGATGACCAGAGAGTCCGGGAAGGGGTGATGCTTCCGCTGTGGTCCGTCCTGGTTAGGCCATACCAGTTCTTCAGGAACAGAGTGACAGACTGGCGGAATGTGAACTGATTTTTGTTTTCAGGGTGTCCAGAAATATGTCCTCTGTGAACTGCTGAGATTATTTTGGGTCTTAGTGGCAGGCGTCAAGTGTGTGAGTTAAGAATGCGTTCTTTGTGTGACACCAGAGGACAGCGTTAGGACTGGCAGAAGAAAGAGTTCCCTGGGGTGGAAGCACGGGCAGCTGTTCAGGAAGGGAATGCTTGCCTTTGGAGAGCCTAAGCTCTCTGTCACCAAAGGTTCTGAGGGAGCGCGGAGGTGGCTGGCCCTCGGGCACGCTGTGGAAGGAACTCCTGCAGTGACTGTGTCCGCATCTGGAGGAGAGGCGTGAGCAGTGCACACGGGGCGCGAGGACATGACGCCCAGACTCCTGACCCCGCCATGCTGCTCAGAGGCCTCCTGCGCTGTCTCTAGTAGAAGTGTTTTTCGATTTAAAGTGGATTTTTTCCTCTCTGAGAAACTCGGTCAAGATGAGATCATGTTTCTAAAGTGCCTTTTTCAGATTGTTAATATGCAGCAGTTAATTCTTGCTGTGTCTTCTGTTTACACGGAGCCAGTGCGGTCGGTTAAGGACGGAATCCATTTGGCTGCACCTTTCATAAAAGTCTCTTGAAATACTAGATATCTGTAATTTGTGTTTTTGAGACGGAATCTTGCTCCATCACCCAGGCAGGAAGGAGTGCAGTGGCGTGATCCTGGCACACTGCAACCTCCGCCTTCTGAGTTCAAGCAATTCTCCTGCCTCAGCTTCCCAAGTAACTGGGATTACAGGTGCCCACCATGTCTAGCTTAATTTTTTTTTTTTTTTTTGTAGGGACGGGGTTTCATCATGTTGGCCAGGCTGATCTAAAACTCCTGGCCTCAAGTGATCCACCGGCCTCAGCTCCCAGAGTTCTGGGCTAACAGGCGTGAGCGCTGCGCCCGCATGAATATCTGAAATTTTTACACAATGAAAAGGTTATGGACTTACATGCAGCTTGTCAGGTTCTTTGATGTTCTGTGCCATGAAAAGAAGAAACAGTGTGCGGGATGGTTCTTCGCTGTGATGAAAAATACACATTTATGACAGAAAGTGTAACAGAGGAGAGAACACCTAGAATTTCACTCACACAATCAAAGGAGTAGACCTGAGATTTTTCTTCAATTATTCCTATACAGTAAAAATAGCGGAATCATGGTGTTGTGTACCTAACAGTGTCAGGCATTTTCCCGCGTTGGTTAACATTCTGTTAGTACCCCCGTTGTTATGGCCATGCGTTGTAATTACCTCACATTCTCCCAGAGTTCATTTCGGTGGTTTGATTTTTTTTTTTGAAACACCATCTTGCTCTGCTGCTCAGGCTAGAGTGCTGTGTCGTGATCTTGGCTCACTGCGGCCTCCACCTCCCATGTTTGAGCATTCCTCCCACCTCAGCCTCCCAAGGACCTGGGAATACAGATGTGTGCCACCATTCCTGGCTAACTTTTGTATTTTTTTTGTAGAGGCGGGATTTCACTGTGTTGCCCGGGCAGGCTGGTCTTGAACTCCTGAGCATAGGTGATCATCTGCCCGCCTCGGCCTCCCGAAGTGCTGGGATTACAGGCATGAGCCACGGCGCACAACCTCCCTCAGTATTATGATGAACTCTGAAATGAATATTTTGTATTTAAATTTTATTTTGCATTTTGGACTGTTTCCTTAAGCTAGAAATTAGCTTTTGAAAGGTCTTAAAGGTGCAATGAAACTTTGTAGCAAGGTTGTACCGGCTTAAGGGTTCAAGGCTGCTGGTTTGATGGAATGTGGTGTGTGCCTCTATTTCCTGGGATCTCCATGTTTGGGGGTAGGGAGGATTGTGCAGCCCCTCAGCCTAAGACTTGGGGTCTGCACTCTTGTGCCCTGGTTTATGCTGATCAAGGCCTGCGAGTCAGTCTAAAACCTGGTCCTTGCGTTTTTTAAAAATGTCACAGGGGCAGATGCCATTGCCACAGGTCACTATGCGAGAACGTCACAGGAAGATGGAGAGGTCTTTCAGCAGAAGCACATCAAGAGGCCGGAAGGGCTTTTCAGAAATCGGTTTGAAGTGAGAAACGGTAAGTTAAAGTGCCCAGGCCAGAGCTGAATTCTCTTTGAACAGAGTGAACTGTTTTGAAGAGTGACAGCGGGTTGTGTTTGAGGATCGCTGCCATCCCCGCCCGCCGCCCCGCCGTGTGCTCCAGAGTAGCTTGCTTTGGGTTCACATTTGAAAAGGTACAGTTACCAAGAGGGTCATCTCCCTGAGGGCGTGTGGCTGTGCAGTAAGAGATGTCCTGGCCGGTCAGGGAGAGGGCTCGGGAAAATTCTCTCAGATACTGAAAACCCAGCTCCAGACACTGTGTTAAGGATTCACGTGTTCCAGAAGTATCCGGGTTGACAGTTGACAGTGATAATCGGGGTGCCGTCCGTCTTGCCAAGGCTTTGTACTTAGCGTCAGGTGCTCAAGGGCCTGTGGTTCAGGCTGCCTTTTAATGTGCTGTGAGCTGGGGATCTGCTGTGGGTCGCATAGGGTCAGCAGTCAGGCTTTGTAGCCGTGTTTACACGTGAGTTCATGTGTGTTAGGGAGCCAGGTTTCACCTTTCTTTTTTTTTTTTTTTTTTTATTGGATTTTAGGTTTTGGGGTACATGAGCAGAGCATGCAAGACAGTTGCGTAGGAACACACATGGCAGTGTGCTTTTCTTTCCTTCTCCCCTTCACCCACATTTGGCGTTTCTCCCCAGGCTATCCCTCCTCACCTCCCCCTCCCACTGGCCCTCCCCTTTTCCCCCCAATAGACCCCAGTGTTTAGTACTCCCCTTTCTGTGTGTCAACGCCATACAGTGAGCGGGGAGCTGCTGGCTTGCCCTGGCGTTCATTTGTGTGTAGAAAAGAGGAATTCCCTGCATTGTTGAGTGAAAATGCAAGTGGAGCTGAGAGCTGTGTTTCTGCAGGGAGCGTCCATCATTGCAGGATCCCTGGAGGGCAGCGCTTCTGCTTGGTCCAGAAAGGCAGATGTTGGAGGAGCCTTGCCCCCGCCATCTGGGGAACAGGGGTGTCTGGGGCAGGGCTTTACATGCACACATATTTTTTTTTTGCCTGAGGCAGGGTTTCACTCTGTCAGCCAGGCTGGAGTACAGAGGCCCGATCTCCTCTCACTGCAGCCTCTGCCGCCTGGGCTCAAGTGATCGTCCCATCTCAGCCCCACTGAGTAGCTGGGACCACAGGCGTGTGCTACCACGCCCGGCCTTTTCATTTTTTGAGTGTAAACACGAGGTCTTGCTGTGTTGTCCGTGCCTGTCTTGAACTCCTGGGTTCAAGTGAACCTCCCCCCTCAGCCTCTCAAAGTGCTGGGATTACAGGTGTGAGCCACCATGCCCAGCCTCACACATTGCACGTTGCTCTTTTTAGTAGTCCATGAGGTGTGTGCTCATCCCGTTTCACGCGTGAGGAAGCCAAGGCCTGGATGAAGCTGTCTGACCTGGGCACCTCGGGTGGCAGAGCTGGATTTGAGCGCACTTCTGCTCACCCACAGTCCCTGTTGTTTCTCCTGTGCCGGGCCCCAGCTGAGTCCTCCTCAGCATTGTTGAGCCCATCCTGGAGGCTACCACGATGGCACAGGGCTCTGCATGGTCAGGGATGCCCTGAGTTGCCAGCAGTCGTCCACCGCCCTCTGTTCTCCCTCTCTCCCCTTCTTTCCTCATGGCAGAGGGTGATCAGGTAACTTCACTGACTTGAGCCCAGAGAACAGCAGCCCACTCCCCTAAGACAGCCCCCCATTTCAGGAAGACATGGGTTTGAATGCAGAGTCCTGCCACTTGGGAACTCCAGGGTGGAATTCACCAAGTAATTGTGCACATACAGGGCCTGAGGAGATGGAGGGTTTATTTCCATGCCGAACAGATGCACCTGCCTACCTCCTAGAACACGGTGCCCTGCGGAGCCATGGGCCTTTATCATAGGTCACGTTTTCCTGGAAACTTCCGACAGTACTGGTGGATGCATTTTGTTGAGTAGTTTGATGTGTGGGAGTTCTGATGGTGTCGTGGCTATCACTGTGTTTTGTAGCCACACTCAAGCTTTCTATTCCATTCTTTAGTTACTCTGGCCTGGCCTCGGTTTTTAGGGAGAGCACCCGCAGGGGCAGTGGAGGGCCTGGGCTCAGGGTCGGTCAGCACCTGTGACCGGCGCTCCCAGGCCTAGCCTGTGGCTGGGCAGCTTTTCCCATGCACAGTGTGCTACCAGCAGCCTGGCAGAGCAGCACGGGAGACGGCGTGTCAGTGAGGCTCCAGCACAGGCAGCCTCCGCGAACATTCATTCCTGTCTGTGCCTTTCCTCTACAGTGGTTCATTTAGGGTCGCCAGCTTGCTTTTTTGAAAATCATTGGTGTTTAGTTTGTTTTAAAATGACTGAGAACTAGGAGAAAATGCAAATGGCTCCTAGTTTTCTGAGGTTCAACTGCAGTTAGATTGGGATTGAAAGTGGATTCTGAGGCTGGGTGTGGTGGCTCATGCCTGTAATCCCAGCATTTTGGGAGGCCGAGGCAGACAGATGATGAGGCCAGAAGTCCCACATCAGCCTGGCCAACATGGTGAAACCCCATCTCTACTAAAAATATTAAAATAAACACAAATTAGTGGGGTGTGCTGGCATGTGCCTGGAGTCCCAGCTACTGCAGAGGCTAAGACAGGAGAATGACTTGAACCCAGGAGGCAGAGGTTGCAGTGAGCTGAGATTGCGCCACTGCACTCCAGCCTGGGTGACAGCGAGATTCCATCTCAAAAAAATAGAACAAACAAAAACTAGTGGACTCTGGGAAGTGCTCTGCTTCTGTGGTGACTGGATGGCTGAACTTCATCTCACTCTCACTCAGTTCTGCTGTCTATACCTGACAAGGGAGTGGGACTCGGGAGGCTGGGCAGTCAGCCCCGCCGCCTGCACCTGTATCACTCTGGTGAGTCGTGTGTAGTGACTAGGCAGGCGTCGGTTTCCCTCTGTACCGTGGGAATAATTCTCCCTCTCACGGCTAACCTGGGAATTAGCAGACGGAGAACACCAGCTACACAGTGTGCTCCATGCATGGCTGTGCTGAGCCAGGAAGGGTGCGTGCGCTGCACGTGGCGCGCTCTGAGTGTAATTCATGAGGAGTTGATGAGAGGTTGAAAGAAGCCATAAAGCTGACATTCGTCTTAAGCGTGTCACCACTGATCACTGAACTTGAAAGTGGAGAACGGGACAGTTCTAAGCCAGGTTTACTCACGCCTCTGCTTTGTTGCCTTAAAGCCAAAAATGGTTGTTTTTTTTTTTTTTTCTGGTTTGAAAATTATTTATTGAATCTCTCCATACACAGGCAAAAATAAGTGTGCCACTTAACATACTGGAACTTGCCTAACTTAATCATTGCCTAGAGAAGGGAAGATTATCCCCAAAACGTGCTTAACCAGGAGGCCAGTGCATCTGCCGACCTCCAAGAGCATGGAGATGAACGTGATAGACAGACTGTCCACCATCTGAGCCTTCGTTCACTACCATTCGGTAACCCTTCTTCAGGCCCAGATCTGCAGCACATTTCTTGCCAACAATCATGAAGTGTCCAAGAAGACTTTCATCATCATCTTCTGCTGCAGAAATCTGGGATATATGTTTCTTGGGTATCACCAGAAAATGTGTTGGTGCTTGAGGAGAAATGTTGTGGGAAGCAAGGCACCGGTCATCCTCAAAAATGATTTTGTCTGGGATTTCCTTGCGGATGATCTTCCCGAAGAGCATGTCGCCACCAGGCCGAGCGACCTGAGCCTTGGCGATCTCGTCTGCCATCTCTGCCTCTCTCCCGCCCAAAAATGGTTCTTTACGATCACATAGGGAATGTCGAAGGAACCGCAGGGGCCCCTAACAGATGTCGGCTGAGACTCTAAACAAAACATCGTCTTTCTTTACCAAGAAAGCTCATGCGTTCTCAGGTGGAGCGCTGCTGGAGGCTGTGCTGCTGCCCGGCAGGACCTGGGGAAGCGTCGAGTCCTTGAACCCCCCGTGGCGCGAGCACGTCTGCGGTTGTTGGGAGAACCTGCAGCTGACACTGTGTCGGGGCAGTTTTCTGCAGGCCGCTAGCTTACTTAATTTTCCAAGATTTGGCTGAATTTATTTTAGGTGTTTTTCATACTTCAGAACATTTTTTTCACGTGGTGTTTCGTCTGATCTGAAGTGTGAGCTGGAATTCTTTGTCATATAACATCCTTGGTCTTTTTGGAGCTGCGAAGGTTTCTCATGTTTACCCCAGCAGTGGTCTTTTCGCTAGCAGTTGCTATTGAGTGTTTATTTCTGCTTCTGACAGGCTAGGGCTCGTCCGGCTGTGGACAGAAGGACACTTTTGAAAGGGAAGTATCATCATCTTTCTTCCTGCAACGTCTTTTCTTCTTTATTCTTGGCAGCGGTAAAACTCCTCCAGGCAGCCGACAGCTTTAAAGACCAGACCTTCTTTCTCAGCCAGGTTTCCCAGGATGCCCTGCGGAGAACCATCTTCCCTCTGGGGGGATTAACAAAAGATTTTGTCAAGAAAATCGCTGCTGAGAATAGACTTCATCACGTGCTTCAGAAGAAAGAGGTACAGTGAGCAGTTCCCTTTGATTAGTGCCTGTGTACCTTTCCCGACTGCACGGTCTGGGGAGCAGCTGGGGCCTGGGGGTCCCACGCCACTTCCCCTTCCAGGATCTAACATCAAAGGCGAACCTTGGAGCAATAGGAGGAGTTTGCTCAGGCACATGGTACAAGGCTCTGCATCCTAGGCGACGCTCCTTGCTCTTTTCCTCTCCTCTGCCCCTATGTGGTGGCTGCCCCGCAGCCTTAGTAGCCGGTGGGCTGCTCTTGGGATAGCCTGCCTGCCAGGTGAGTGCCAGGCAGTGTGATGGAGAGAGCCCTGCAGGGGCAGGTGCTGCACCACCATCTGCACCCTGATGTGCCCTGTCACCTGCTCGCCCGGCATAGACTCGTTTGGTGCCATCAGTTCCAGGCACTGTGCTGCCGGGCTGCGAGGACACGGTGACGCTCCATCTTTGCCTCCATGGAGCTCACCTGCGAGCCGGGGCACGGACAGGAGGCCAAGCGCTGTAAACCTAGAAAGCATCTGTGGAGGGAGGTGTAGGGCCCTGGGAGGGAAGCACCCGTGGAGTCAGAGTAGGGAATGGAGATGACAAGGCCTCAGAGGAAGTCACACGGAATCTGAGACCTGAAGGATGAGAGGATTCGGTGTCCTGGAGAGGGCTGGGAACGTAGACAAGGGAAGGGCAGTGCAAAGGCCTTGAGACAAGGAGAAGCCAGGGAGCCGGCCTGGGGGTGCCTGCCCGTGGCCCCAGGTGCTTGGGAGGATGGAGTGCACCTAGGAATTTCAGGACAGCCCGGGCAACATAGCGAAACCTGTCTCAAGGAGAGAGAGAGAGCCTGGAGCGTTGGCAGAACAGGGTGAAGCCAGTGGGAGGGCCTGGGGATGGAGGGTGAGGGGTGGGAGGTGGCTCCTTCATGTCTCTTCCTGGTAATGGAAATGGCCGTACCGTTCAACAGCAAGCCATTTTCCCTGAAGAGCACGTCACCCCGTCCTCCTCTCCTCTGGTCTTCCGTTTCCAGCGTCACTCTGGTGGGAGCTGTAGTCTGGAGACACACAAACCAGAGAGTAAAGGATGCAGCCTCTGACGGGGCCGGGGTGGGGAACCCACAGAGCCCAGGCTCCCCAGCCAGGACAGCTGCGGCTGAGGAAGGCGCCTCTCTCCTCTGACTTCCCTGGGGTCCTCCCCTGAGGCCGGGGTGGGGAACCCACAGAGCCTAGGCTCCCCAGCCAGGACAGCTGCGGCTGAGGAAGGCGCCTCTCTCCTCTGACTTCCCTGGGGTCCTCCCCTGAGGCCGAGGCTTCAGGCCTGGCTTTCCTGCTTCCTGCCCCTCCTCTGCTTCTCACAGGACAGTGGCCTGAAGGCGTTGACTGGGTTCGCTTTCTTCCCTGGGTCAGTTGGGTGAGGTTTTGCTGCATAGGGTCAGGTCTTGCTGGGCCAAGACAATGAGGCGTTCATGCTCTAAGGCCCTGGCCTCGTGTGCGCCGGCTGTGACTGGTGTCCCAGGGTGCTGGTGGGCAGCCGGGCCCCTACCCTGGAAGCAGATCGTGGGGTGAGGCTGGGAGGCCCTGGGGCCTGCTTAGGGTGTCCAGGTGCAGTGCGGGCCGCCCCCACCTCTGCCCCCTCACAGCTGCCTTCTGTCATTTCAGAGCATGGGCATGTGTTTCATCGGGAAGAGAAATTTTGAACATTTCCTTCTTCAGGTGAGTGGTGGTCTTTGACACAAAGCGATGGGGCCAGGTGTCTGCCCTGGGTCTGGAACTCCATCGGTAATGAAATGTTTGTTTTCCAGTATTTGCCATCTCGACCTGGTCAGTTTATTTCCATAGAAGACCATAAGGTTCTGGGAACACACAAAGGTGAGGTTCAGACTCTGCCACTTGTCATCTGAGTGCCTTGAGCTGTGGCCAAGGGTGCCTGTTGTCCCTTCCACTCGGGTGGATCGTAGAAGGCTCTGGGGTGGGGGGTGGAAGAGTCGCCTTGCTGAGGACTGTGTGCATTTCAAGATATGGCCGCAGCTGTAATGCTGGGGTTCGTGAGGGGCACGCCTCTGATTTGGAAGGGCTGTCCTGTGAGTTACATATCAAGTCCCTGTAGAAAGAATTCAGGAAAATGTTAAACTACACAGAACTGCACGCCGCCGCAGGGGGTAAGGCAGACATCACCGCATGACTTGAGTGATGAAGGACCCACGCGCTCATGAGGTCAGGTGTCCCACTTCTCCCGCACATGCTCTTATTGCGGGGAGGCCTACGTGAGCCTGCGTCGTGCCTGCGGTGGGGGACAGGCTCCAAGTTAGTCACCAGCCAGTGGTGGGGATGTGCCTTCTGCTGTGATCATCAGGCAAGTCTTACCTAGCGCAGGACGGGGCCATGGGACTGGCCAGGAGAGCCGGGCTGCTGCTCAGGGGTGGGGCGTCTCGCAGTGAACTGGAGAGCCTCAGGAGCAAAGGGCTCCTGAGAGAGCTGGGGCCAGGCATTCCTGAGACAGGCCTGCCCTTGTAGCTGCCAGTGCTGGCCCCAGTGGGAGCCAGTTAGATGACTCAGGGTTTTCACCTGCAGTTCACTCCACTGAAGGAGGCTGCCGGGCCAGGCCACGTGGTAAATCCGTGAGGTTCTCTCTTCCTGCGTGCACCGCCGCAGTGAGGGGAGGCAGTGAGTTTGCCATCTCCTCTCTGACATTCATTGTGAGGGCGCGGGTGTGCAGAGGGTAGCCAGGGAAGACTTGGGCACAGAGTGGCAGGGGGCAGCCTGAGGTAGAGTTAGTGCATTAGATCGACACTCTGGTGTTAGACGCACAGCTGTGTCATGGGCCCGTGGTGTCACACAGGGCCCCCAGCCACATCCTGGCCCTGGGGTCAGGTGTTCCTACAGCTGGGACCTGTACCTTATGGGGTGTAAGGTACCTGCTCATGGCCACTGCATCCCGTGTCTAGCCCCTTCATGGACAATGATGGGACGCACGCAGATGCTTGGGCAGTGCTGGCCTGGCTGGTTGGAGAAACAGCTTCCAAGTGAGCTCCTCCATTTGCTGGGCTTGCTCTGGGCCGCCCTCGGAGGTCCACAGAGCCTCCCCCTGCTGCCCTGTTAGGAGAGATGTGACATTTGGGATGGAACACATTGCCCAGCCTCATGGAGAAACTGTCTTTCTGTAGGTTGGTTCCTGTATACCTTGGGCCAGAGAGCAAACATAGGTGGCCTGAGAGCGCCCTGGTACGTGGTGGAGAAGGACAGTGCCAAGGGTGATGTGTTTGTGGTGAGTGGGCCGGCCTGAGGCTGCTTCTGGCAGGGCCAATAGTGCTGGACCAGGGCTTGGGGAAGACTCCAAGCCACCGTGGAGTCATGGAGTTGGTGACTCACTCTGACTGTCCTTGGTCCCTGCCTTCCTGCTGTATCCTCCCGTGACTGGCCATGGCGGCAGGAGGGTTTTAAGGTAGGCCTCAGGCTGTCTTGTGTGCTGGCCTCTCCCTTAGTCACTGAACCCCCTATACCCAGATACTGTTTCTCCACTTCTACAGAAGAGGGGCTCATCTGGTGGAGAGGGGGTGGCCTCGGTGCTGAGGATGGTGCCTGCCATGGTAGAATCCAGTGAGGTGTGGTCAGGCAGGTACAGGTGGCCGAGCCTAGGATGAACCCAAGCCTTCCACCACTGTGACCCTGGCCTCAAAGTGGGGCTGCCTATCGGGGGCCAGCTCACCCACCACCTCACTCTCCCTTCTGATCACTTCCCACAGATCAGTGGGTCAGGCCAGGGCTGCTGCCAGGTGTGCTCAGCACAGCCTCTACCTTGGTGCCACAGCTGGCTAATGTGGCACGAATGCTGAGGGCTCCAGGGCATCCCTACCTTCGCATTCTGCCCCGCAGGCTCCCCGGTTAGACCACCCAGCCCTGTACAGGGACCTGCTGAGGACCAGCCGGGTGCACTGGATCACGGAGGAGCCGCCTGCAGCACTGGTCCGGGACAAGATGATGGAGTGTCACTTCCGATTCCGCCACCAGATGGCACTAGGTGACTGGAGGGAGGGCTTCCCAGGATGGGCCCTTTGAAGCTGAGTTTCCTGAGACCAGGGAAGGGAGACTCTGGGGCAGGAACGTCCCTGTTGTAGAGATTATTTGGAGATTAACTTCGTGTCCTGTGCCTGCCCTGAGGGAGGCCTGGGGATGCTGGGAGCAGGCCCCTTGTGTTAGGCTGAAGCAGGCGAGTGCACTGCCCTGCACTGTCCGACCTTCCCCTCTGAGGTGTTCACCGCTGTGGGCTGGTGCCCCTTTTTCCCTGGGGCCAACCAGGCAAGGCCTGTGCCCCCTCCAAGGGCCCCTCTCTTCCACCCAGTGCCCTGCGTGCTGACCCTTAATCAAGATGGCACCGTGTGGGTGACGGCCGTGCAGGCTGTGCATGCCCTTGCCACAGGACAGGTGAGTAGGGGCCTGGGGGGGTGAGCCCAGCTGTGCTCTGGGAGGACTGCACTGCTCTTCATCCTACCAGGACACCTGGGTTAGAGAAAGGGGCTGAGGCCTAGAAGTAGGGTGTGAGCAGTCCCTCCTGGGGGCTCCTGCAGTGACAGCTGTGAGAGGATTTCCACTCTGATGTCACCAGCCAGCTCCTGCTTGGGCCCTCAGAGGCTCAGCTGCTGCCCAGGCCCCAGATGTGAGGACAGAAAATGGAAGGGGCAGAGGGTCAGGGCCCCTGTGGCCGCGTGTGCAGGAGCTCCGGGGGTGGGCGCCTGGCATGTGCAGGCGGTGGGCGGGAGTGCACCTGGGGTGAGGAGAGCAGAAGCGTCCTCTCGCTGCCACCATGCTCCGTTCTGTCACAGCTCCAGATTGCCAAGGGCTGCAGAGACCTGCCAGTCCTTGGAGTCCCAGGAGAGGCCCCTGTGACTATCCCACTCAGGGAGAGGCACCCTGATCCTGAAGACCTTCCCTAGTGAAGCTGCTGGGCGCCCCAGGCCTCTCCTCACCTGTTAGTCAGCAGTAAACCCTGCTCTACCTGGAGCTCCGAACACAGACCAAGCCCCAGAGGGACTGCTCTGCCCCTACCTGCCCTGGGCTGGCCCCATTCAGAACCCCTGATGCCAGGCCCTCTCTGTCCTGCAGTTTGCCGTGTTCTACAAGGGGGGCGAGTGCCTGGGCAGCGGGAAGATCCTGCGGCTGGGGCCGTCTGCCTACACGCTTCAGAAGGGCCAGCGCCAAGCTGGGGTGCCCACCGAGAGCCCCAGTGACAGCCCAGAAGAGGGCCCAGACCTTCGTCCCTCACTCTGACAGAGATGGAGCTGCTGGGAGGAGCCTGGAGAGCAGGGCCCTGGGCTGGGTGGCTAGTGAGTGGTCCAGGTCCCCAAGGCCCAGCTTGCTGCGGCCCAAAGTGAAGAACGCTGGGCTGGTCAAGGGTCTGCAAAGCCTGCAGGGGCCTGGCGAGCCCCAGGAAGAGCCTCACCTCCAGGCTGTAGCTCTGGCTGGCTGGTAGGGTGGCCTGAGGGCTTCCCACCTCAGCACAATGAGGGGACCCTGTGGAGGGGGACGCAGGGACGGTGTGGAATAAACATTCTTTTAAGGACACAGGGTCTGGTCGCTGCCTTCACTGGGTCACTGCCTTCCCCTGTGGAAAGGCAGGTGGACTGCAGGGGCAGCCACAGCAACCTGAGGTCTGAGCCGCCCCATCCACTGACCTGGGATCGCTGCTGCTCTGCCTCGAGGGCCGCTGCTCCTAGACCGCAGAGCTCGTGTCCGGGACACGGACTGGTGTCCTTCCTCTTGCTGGGCTGGAGCCTTGGTGCGTCACTGGTGCTGTGAGAACGTTCCTGCGGGGACCAGAGGTGCACTGCCCTTCTCTGGGTAAGAAGGTTCCAGGGGCAGCACGTCCCTTCATCCCACAGGGAGCCAGACAGGGCCCCACCCTCTGGCATGCAGTGGATCAGAGGGAGGCCCTCTCCTATCCCGCTCCCCAGGATCCTTGCCCCTGAGAGCTCCAGCACCACTGAGACTGACTGCTGGTGGCAACAGGGCCACCCCAGGGTCAGAGCTCGCTGGCACCTGGTCCAGAGAGGACAGGCAGCTGAGGCCTGTGTGCAGGGGCTGGATGAGCACAGCCATGCACATGCACCCTGGAGTCTCAGCCTGGCCGCAGTCCCTTAGCCCACTTCGGGGTGCTGGGGGGGATCAGGCCCTCTGGCCCCACAGCATGAAAGGCCTAGGAGCTGTAGCGGGGAGTGGGCTTCCTTTTGAACGTGGTTAAGAGACAGGAGCATTGTGAGCCAGTGTACACCTGCAGAGGAGACTCCTCTGGCCGCTGCTGTCCAGAACACAGGAGGGGAGCGGGTAGGGCAGGGAGGCTCTAGGGTTTAGATGAGGATGGCAGGTGGAGGGAAGGGTGGTATTAAGGCAGGTGCCGTGGATCAAGTTGATGCCTGGGTGGTGGCCCGAGCAGGTGGGGTTTCCTTCTCTTTGTGGTCTGGAGAGCTGGATGGTACCCAGAGGGCCTTGCCCAGATGCCCTAGGTTCTTGCTGGTGCCTCAGGATGAGGACTGTCATGGGGCCCAGCATCCATTCTGACCTTGCCTGTCTCCCCACTGAGTATCCTGACCTGGGGCAGCCTGCCTTGTAGCTTAGCCCCATACACCCGGGAGTATCCTGAGGGTGAAGAGTGGGCCAGAACCCGCAGGCAGCTTCTGAGACCTGCCATGCTCCAGGTGAGGAAATGGGGCTTGGGGTGGAGCTGCAGCAGCCCTTGCTGGGGAGGGCTGTGGTGGGGGGGCTGGGGGGGGGGACAGGGGCAGGCCCCAGCTCCACCAGGCAGGTAGAGTGCTGGCCGATGGGACCAGACAGGCCCCTGGGGATCCTCCGTTCAGCTGAAGTGCTGCCTTTGTTCTGCCGGCTCAGCCCAGCACTGAGCCTCCCTGGGCTCAGGTTTCCCCTGATTTATGGCTGTGGCTGGCCCTCCAGCCTGAGATCTGAGGATGGGAGACCCCCCTTGGTGCTCACTGCTCTGCCTAGGCCAGCCCTCCCAGGTCACAGGAACATGAGCAAGAGGAGGTGGGGTGGCCAGGCAGGAGGTAGCGTGGGCACCAGGTCAGCAGGGTGAGGCTGCCCTCCATAACCAACAGTGGGCTCCACTGTCCTGCCAACCCCAGGGCCTGTGCGTCAGCCAACGGAGGAAGTGGGGGCACAAACCTGCCTCTGCCCCTTGGGCCCCAGGCTCCACTGGCGACAGCTTCCTGACGGGCCGGGCTCCCCTCTGCAGAAGGCACAATTGCCTGCCCCATCCCCCACAAGGCCACTGGCCAACCCCGGAGGGCTTCGGCGCAATGTCTCAGAGTCAGCAGAAGCTGTTGGCCGGGGGTCAGAGGGCCAAGCATCTGGGCTGGTCTGACCTCTTTCCTACCCTCCACAGCACCCAAGGCTGGCACACTCCAGAAGCTGTGTCCCTCAGATGACCTTTTGAAGACCTGGGGTGCCCCAGGAGCACAGGCAGGCAGGTGCCCCTTCTGCCTGCATGGGCACCCCCAGTGGCCCGGCCTTAGCCACTTGCCACACCTGTCCATGAAGACAGAAGGGGAGGGAAAGGAAGAAAAACATCTTCCGGGTCAAGAGCTGGATGCTCATACCTCCCTACTCCCTGCTCCCTGCTCATAACACAAATGAAAGCAAAGCCCGTGCTCTTCTCCGCCATGTTGTTTCCAGGATAATCTAAGTGAGACGCAGGTCCCAGGATGGCGCCCCCTCGCCTCATACCTAGGAGGCTCCTTACCGAGGCCCTAAGCTGGCTTCAAACACCCTGAGCCTGCCTTCGGCCCAGTCCCTGGCTCCCACACTACCCCATGCCAGAGCCTTGCCCGGCCCAAGCCCTTTCCTTCTTGGGGAGTTTGTTTATCTTTTCAAGAAGACAAGGTCTTGCTGTTACTGAGGCTGGAGTGCAGTGGTGTGAGCAGCGCTCACTGTAGCCTTGACCTGGGCCCAAGCAATCCTCCTGCCTCAGTCTCCCAAGTACCTGGGACAACAGGCATATACTACCACACCCAGCTACTTTCGAATTTTTTTCGAAACAGTCTTGCTATGTTGCCCAGGCTGGTCTTAAACTCCTGGCCTCAAGCGATCTTGCCTCAGCCTCCCAACACACTACAGGCATGAGCCACTGTGCTAATTTTTAGCAGCTAATTTCTAAAAATTGTAGAGGCCGGGCGGAGTGGCTCATGCCTCTAATTCCAGCACTTTCAGAGGCTGAGGTGGGTGGACTGCCTGAGCTCAGGAGTTCGAGAACAGCCTGCGCAGCACAGTAAAACAGAGTCTCTACTAAAATACAAAAAAAAAGAAAAAAAAATTAGCTGGGCGTGGTGGTGCGCGCCTATATAGTCCCAGCTACTCAGGAGGCTGAGGAAGGAGAATTGCTGGAACCCAGGAGGTGGAGGTTGCAGTGAGCCGAGATTGCACCACTGCACTCCAGCCTGGGCAACAGAGGAGACTCCATCTCCAAATAAAAATAAAAATTGTAGAGATGGCCCCCAGCTAATTTTAAAAAATTGTAGGGTTGGGTTCCCACTGTGTTGCTCAGTCTGGTCTTGAATGCCTCCCTCAGGCAGCCAAAGTGTTGGGATTACAGACATGAACCACTGTGCCTGACCCTCCTGGGGGTCTTAGCAAGCCTTGCCTCCAGGGTGGGGAGGTCAGGGCAAGGCTAAAAAGCTGTGATTGAAGCAGCTGTAGTCACCCGTTACCTGGGCTGGGGAGTCTGGAGGCCCCGTGGCTTGGACAGCATGTCCACTCTTGTCTGTTGAAATGTGATCACAGAGGGGCTTGTTCTGCCCTCACCCACCACCGTCTGCCGCCGATGCCCTCCAGATGCACTGCAGAGCACTTGATGGTCCTCAGGTGGACGCCTTGGCCTGGCTGATGGGCAGGCCTGCTCCGGGCTGCCTGGACTGCTTTCTCTTTCTTAAATGCTTCTGATATTTCCTGTTAATCATGGCTTTGGGGTTGAGGTAGAAATACTCTATCACATCAGCCACTGAGCATTCTGGGATGTAAACATTAGCTGGTGACCTGCCGAGAAAGCAAAACCTGAAAAATGACCTGAGGCACTGGTGAGTTCCAGGTTTTCTTCACTCTTCTCAGATTTGACCTGGGGGGTGTCCCTAATCTGTGGTGCTGTGCAGCCAGCACCAAGGCAAGGACATCAGAGAGGCCTGGGGATATGTGGGTGCTGTGGGCTGGAGAGTGTTGGGGTTCCCATTTTTCTATCTCTTTGCTGTCACTTCTTTTCCCTAAGGGTGGGCCCTGCTGGGTGGAAGCATGAGGCAGTGCAGGTGGCTAGAGCTCTGGGAGAAACCAAGAAAAGGGACCCCAGGAGTGAGAAAATGCAGGGCAAATCCCAGCAAGGAGAGGGCTGGAGAAGCAGACGCCCAAATCCTCTGCACACGCTGATGCACGTCCCTGCTCACCCGCCTGTGAGTGCAGGCAATGAGCCAGAACAGCTGAGTTCTAGGGCTGGCCTGGTGGTGGACCTGCAGCTCATGGAAGGAGACAGAACCAGGGGTCAGGACCTAACCAGGTTGCCTGCTGCTGAAACAAACAGATGAAATGACACTTACAACCCAGAGTCTAACACTCCACCTGACAGGTGAGGATTCAACTTGTAGTCACTCGGCACACAAAGAACCGGGAAAATGCAAACAGAAAAGAGATTTCAGCCCCAAGACACTCAAACGTTCAGATGATCCCAGAAGTCACAGCAGCCCTAGTTAGAACCATGCTTCATGAAGTAAAGGTGAACACTCTTGGAATGAATGGAAAACTAGACGTGCCCAGCAGAGAAATACAAAGGAACCAAGTGGAAATTTAAAAACTTCACAGCATTTGAAATAAAAAATTCACTGGGTGAGTTCAGCAGCAGGATTAAGATGACAGAGGAAAAACACCAGCGAACTTGAAGATGGAGCACCAGAAATAATCAAATCTGAAGAACAATTAGAAAAAAGAATGAAGAAAGGTGAACAGAGCCTAGGGGACCGGTGGGAAAACATCACGAGATCTAACATCTGAGTAGCTGGAGCTGCAAAAGGAGAAAGATCAGTGCAAGACAAGAAAACAAGAAGTAATGGCAAAACCTCCTGAAATTTGGTGAGAGACATGCATTTACAGATTCAAGAACCTCAGGAAATGCGGAAGGAGGACCGCACACTGAGGCTCCGGCAGGCCAGCCAGGGAATGGACAAAGTCTGGACTCCAGGTTCCACTGGCCAGTGGGGCACGGACTTGGACGGCTCAGTGGCACGTCCATCAACCGTCCCTTCCATGGCCACCTCGGGTGCAGGGAGGGGCAGGTGTGTATGGAGAAAAACCAGCACTGCGGATGTACAAATTCAAAAATCTTAATTTATTGTAGACTCTTGTCATTTGCAGTTCCAGTGTTTTGAACATTAATAAATACACGTGTTAAAACCCTCCAGTGTCTCATCTCTCCCATAAAGTCTTAAGTAATAAAAATAGGTTTCCGTTTTTCCCGTCTCAAACTGACAGTTGTTTTTTGGTAACAGTTCTGATCAAATTAAAAATGACACCTCATG